GAGTTTGCACTAGATAGAATTGAGTTTTAAAAGTGATGACCTTTTTTTGCTCTTCAAATTTTGATTTTGGGGCGGCATTTTGAATTTGCTTCGGGCGGCCAATTTCCTTTGCACGCCGCCGCTCGGCGCTTTAAGGTCTCTCATTTTTAGCACTACATGAAATGTAGAGCTACTAATCTGCGTTTTTTTTTCTAATACTTTTTCGAGCCATGAACAGAATTAGAGTGGCTTTCAATTTTATGCTCATATTTTTTATTCAATTCAAACTAGTGGCAGTAACGACAAATAAGTGCATAGTATCTCGAAACGCTAATCAAATTTTTATTATCAAATGTTATTTAAAATTTACATTACTTTTTCCTTTTTTCGTATAGTACTCTTTTACCCTTTAGTATAAGTAATGGTTGAGATAAATCCTATGCGCATATTATTTATTTGATTTAAAGGAGTTACATTAATGAAGAATAACGTATAATAAAACAATGGTTTAGTTAAATTGATTTAATATCATATGTACTATCAAGAATCAATTCCCTTTTTTGATTATACATCTTTTCATCATACTTTTATCATTCATTTTACTTTACGAATCGATATTCGCAAAACAGAGATGACTACAAATGCATTTCGTTATTATTTTTTTGTTATTTGTATATATCAAAACATAACAAAAATAGTAATGTAAATGAAAAATTAAAAAAACAACAACAACTGAATAAGGTTACACAAGATGTTTTTATTGCTTTCCATATTTCCAATTTATGATATTACTTCTTTTTCTTCTTTAAAGAAAGAACATTCTCGAACGATGAATCCAGAACATTCTTCTTACGCTTTAATGAATTTGCACTATCACTATCCATTCTCTCAGACCCTTTTGGTTCTACTTTCATCTTTTTGGACTTCTTGAAATTGGTAGACTTCTTTTTCCGTTTTGATACTGATTTAATTTTAATGTTTTCAACAGATATAATTTCACGCATTACAACGTCAATATTTTCATCATCAGAAAAGTTCATTTCGTGGATTTACAAATAATTTTAACCAAACTAAAATTACAATTGGAATTGACATTCAAATCACAAATATAATTCAAAGACTACTTTAATAAAATACATTTCATGTAGTGCGCCAATAAAATAGTTTGTTGTGGAACAACAAAATAGAAAAAGTTTCTATAAACTCAAGAACGCAGAGCGGAGCAGAGCGACGCTCTGCGGTCTTGTTTTTTTCTTTTGAGCTGATGCCACTTCGATATAATGAAGCAGTGCAAGTGTTCAACAGCATTGAATGGCTGAGAGCATGCGTAAAGTATTGAAGGAAACACGTGTGTGCCAGTGCTCACTTCGACGAGCATAAAATAAAATACATCGATCTGTTCACTTCATTCAGTGATAGTCGGTGTCAGTGATACTCGTCAATGGTTTTCTGCTCATACTTTTTGGGCACATTCTCTGCTTTTTTCTCAAAGCAGTAAATTTGATTTAAGATTGATGTTCAGCGTGTGTATTAACGTGAATGAATAGCGTGTGACTGGGGCCCGAAAAAGCATTCCATTTTCTTAATTTCCATTAGATTTTGACACATAATGCCACGTTTGGCCTCTTTGCTTGTAACAAGAAAGAATTAACAAAATAAAATGAATGAAACTAGTTTTTTATTGGAGCCATGACGTGCTACACGTGCACACTGGATTAAAGTCAAAATCTGGTCCATCTTATCGTTATAATCAATCATCCTAGAAAATTAAAAACAAATCTCTATATAAAGACACGGAATGTGAAATCCAAATTTTTCGTGGAATTGCCTCAAATTTACTCGCATAAAAGCTTACTCTGTTCGCATTGTCGTCCTTATGCACACACACAAAAACAGCAACAGCAACGGCAATGGCAACAAAAAAATGTACCAATAAAAGACATGTCAGCAACACGGCATTGTCGATTTCACTGAAGCACTCCAATGAGAATGTGCGGTTTATCAAGCTGCTGATGGAGATTGATACATTGTCATTGTAGCACAGCCAGGATATAAGTTGGGATTTTTCAATGGAAAACCTTCATTCACTTCTCTTTCGTTTAGCGAAAAAGAGCGGAAAAAAAGCTGTCAATAAAATTTTGCATCAAATATTTTCCTATGTCCCCCTTGTTTATGTGCTTCGTTCATTCATTGATTGCAACCAAGCCACAGCAATTTTCCGTGGGCAGTGAATTGTTTCAATCGAAGCGCTTTACTTTAAGTAGCAAATGTATTTGCCGAGTTTCACCGCGTATTTCTTTTCAACGTAGGGGAACCTGGGTACGACTGTACCAACGCGCTTTTGTAAATATCAAAAGTTGTTTATATAACAACAACAACAGAAAAATTGTAATTTTTTTTGTGTGTGTTTATGTGCTAATACTCTTTTCCACCTATTGCAATAGTAGTGGAACACTGTGCAATTGTTCGACAAACAAAATATCGGGCAGAGTAGCTTTTTTACCACACTTTTATTGTTACGTCGTTTGTACCTTTTTTTTGCACTGCATGAAACCCTGAGAGCAAAACCAAAGTATATATTTTTTGCTCTTTGAAAAAAAACGGAGAACAAATCCCTTCCGTCCAACATTTTTTTTTTTCACAGCAACACTGAGTTATATTTGAAAGATAAGGGCAACAGTGAAATATTTAATTAAGTGGTGAAAAGGATCCCAAAATTACAGAGATGTATTCGCCGAATTGTTACATATAGAAAGTATTGAGAAAAAAAGACGGTCAAATTGGATTACGAATTTTGTAAGGATGCGAACGGATTATGATGAATTTCGGTTACCATCGTATTTCATCCTTAATAATTCGTGGTGCGTATTGGAGATTCAATTTTTCATGTTTTACTCCCAAAGCATTTCTTTTCCACGCTATTTTCTTTTACTCTTTTTGTTTTTAATTTTGGCTAATCATCATGATTGTCTTTTCTGGTATCTACATTGTATGGCACATGATTTTGGACATCGCTCTGTTTCCAATTTTATTTAAAAAAAAAAAAAATATTTCAGCGGTCTCGAATATTTTCACCGATTCACACGGACATGAATAACAATCTCCTAAAATATTCAAACATCCTATTGTTTTGCTGGCCACAATGGGATCGCATCGTGTGATGCATAATTTGTATGACAATGCCGTACTCACTACACAGTGAAACCGTTACATGCTCCACGAAAAGTGACCATTTCTGTAATCTTGGTTTATTCGATTTTAACATAAATTTATTGTTTTTAGATGTGTTTATTTATTATTGAAGGGAGCTTTGGGAGAATGCGCCAAAAAAAACAAAAACAATGCCTCGGAAAATCACGTTTCTACTGTGCCATCTTTTCTTTACAGAACTGGGAATTTTTCAGGGTAATTTTTCGCGCAAAAGAACGAAAATTTCTGAAAATCTCGGAAAATATTTCCTCAGAAAATGTCAAATGGTCTTGCGTGCACTTACATTCATCGCTTACCGGTTTTTTTTTTCGAATTTTTTTTTTTTTGTTTTTCATCGTAATTCCAATAGATTTTCTTACAGTCACAGGATACCTTTTGGCTCTTGTGTACCTTTTCGTGATCGTAATTCAGAGAAGAAAAAATGATGAAAACTGCCAAAAAAAACCGCCCTGTGAAGTATAGTTTTTTGGTCATGTACAATGTATACTTGCTTAGTTGGACCCGATCTGTTGGGCTCCCGAGATGAATACAAAGACAAAAACGATAATCAAAAGGACACACCCTAACTTATCTGAAGAGAAATTGGCTAAAACTAAAAATAATTTTTAAACCATTTGGAACGCTTCGTGCAATGACGTGATTTCACGAACCTAATTTCGCGAATTGCACCAAATCTCAACTTTGAAGCTAGATATAACAATTGTTTACAGTTTATAGCGTGCCAAATTAGTTATGATCCATTTTGTATCCCCTCTTTTGGCGGTCTTATGAACACTTGGTTGAAGAAAAAAAACATCGTTTTGAATGAATTTTGTGAATGCCCTCATTTATCGAATCGATGTCTACTGCCTGTGTTTCTGAAAAATTTGTACCGTGTTCAAAAACAACGCGAATCAGTTCAACACAGTAACTTTTGTGCGAACACAAATCGTATGAATGAAACACAGTAGAAACGTATAGAGCGAGCTATAGGTACGGAGCTAGTTCGCTTGTGCTAAATAGTTATATGAGCAAGGGTGCACAGTTCAACTGTAACAGTTGACATATAGATCGGAAACCACTTTAAGTTAAAAAGCTTTACCACACTATTCGCAAGCTTCTGGGTTCGTTTTATACTGCGCGATACTTCTCTTCTTCCAATTATAATGCATGCGCGTATGGTTTTCATCAGAATTTAGATGAAAATCTATTGAATTTTCCTCGACAATCCAATTTTTTTTTAAAGAAGTTATGTCAAACGCTTTTCTTCAAAAGTGTTCTTTGATTGTGCTATCCTTTGGTTTTTGTTCTTAAATCAGTGTGTGCAAGCTTATTGACCGCTTAAGTCAGTGACAATAAATGATTCCATTATAAGACTATCAACAGAGAAATCAGACATAACGATATGTGTTGAAAAGTGAAAAATGACGTTTTTTTGTTTGGATAGAATTTTTGTGTCTTTTTCATCTGTTATATTGAATAAGGAAGTATGTTTATTCTGGATAATATCAAAACCTACTGTTCAATCTCAACGGAAACGACGAATAATGGCTATGTTAATACATGAAGAGAAATTTAATGCTAGAAACGACAGACATCTTGACTTAGGAAATTGAATCAACGAAATCAAAGCAGATGCAAACTCAATTAGCATAGAGTATCGATGTGAATGAAGTTGCTGATGTTAGATTTGCAGGCAAAGTATTGTATGTTCCCCTCCTTTTGTCAGATGCCACGTTATTTCATATTATTTCGTCATTGTCAATCGTTAATAGAATTTTCAACAGAACACAAGAAAAGACGATAAAGTAAATACTGGCCTAGCTACTTACTTTGAGTTGACTTTGTTGGTGCGTCGTTCCCAACGCTGATGGCGGTGTTTTTTGGATTTCGTCATGTTTTTGATGGTTTGGATGTGATGGAGAAGATGAAACCAATAATGGATTTGCATTAACGTTTCCGATGCTCGGATCATTTATTGTTAAGCCACATTCAACCTCTTTACTTTGACCCTCCTTTCGCGCATCCAGTTCCGTCTGCAATTGTATTTGCGGTTCCATTTGCTGCATTAAGGGCTGAGACTTTTGATTTGTCACTTGCTGTGAAACTGTAACTATTGCTTCAGACGAAGGTGACGTCGTAACCTTTTAAAATCAACACAAAGACAAGCGAACGGTTTTTTTCTTAGCTTTTCGAGTTTTGAACTTGTTGCAGCAGAGTGTTATGGTAGAGAAATATTGAAAAATGTGGATTATTTCAACGCATTCATGGTATAAAATATGCATTGCTAGCAGAGATCCATCCACCCTAGTATAATAGATAAACCGAACTAACAATGTGCTGTGTATAAATCATATACTGTCATATTTTTTTCGCGCTGGTGGCGCACCTAGCCCATGGATGGATGTACTATGGGTTAGCTGAGCTATGTAATTGAATGTCAAGTTGGTTGTGTATGAATTTTGACAGAACTTCTGCGGCCATCAACTAGTTGCACCACATATCACATCGTTCCATAGACATTGTGAGTTCGGATAAACAACAAAGACCATAGCAGCAGCGACAGAGTCAGCTTCGGCAATTGTATAGCTAGCAATTTGGCGTATCTTGATTTTCGATCTAGCATAAGCTAGTTAGCTGGTCACCAAATTTTTTCATCAATTTAGAGATCAAATTGTAATTGGATTGGCTTACCTCTTTCGTCGTGTCGTTGAATGTGGTAGTGACGATATCAATTCCTTTTTTATCTGTGCTACTTTCGTCCGTGTCGCCGACTGTATTAACGGTGATTGTGGAATTTCCTTCGACTAAACCTAATGATGAAACGGCTGATTTTTCGTGATTGGCAAAGTTGGATGTTAGACGAAATCGTAATCGTGGATTGGACTTCTTCATTGTTTTATTAACCTGAAGAAGGAGAAGAAGGAGAAGAAGGAGAAGAAGAAAACAGATTTTTTTTTAAAGCAGGCAAAAGATGCAGAGTTCAAATATTTCCAACTTAATTGGAAATGGTACTCGAATAACAAGAAAGATTGAAGGCTAGACTAAAATATGTATGTGAAGCCAATTCCATTCAATTCAATGTTGCAACCTACCTGATTATTGTTGGCAGAAAGTATCTGTTTTGGACGTCTTCTATGAATTCGTTTTCGCGCAGTTTGATAGATTTTCCAATACAAAATTAATATTATCAACAGGGGTACATAAAACGTACTGCACGTGGCAAATATCTGCAAAAAGAAGAGCAATGACGGGTCATATAGACATATATACAAATGTATGTAAAAGAGCTGGACAATGTGGTGCATACACAATACACATTTCGCCCATATGAGAGAGAGAGAGAGAGATATTGTCTCTCTCTCTCTCTCTCTCTCTGTGTGTGTGTGTGTGTATGGCGTTGTTTATTTTGCGGTGGAAAATCATTGAATAGAAACGAACCTGATAGCCGATGTCTTGTGATACCATGCATTTTTGTTGTTCTATTCGTTCCATATATTCGGGATCTTTCCATCCAAATTGTGGTGCCAACGAAACGATAACGGCCGATATCCACACGAAAAATATCATCAGAGAAACGCGACCAGTGGTTCTCGAGTGAATATAATCAACATTCGTGACCGCCCAATATCTGAAATTGAGACAATCAATTTAATTGAACCGCACTTTTCACTTGATGAATTTCAATTTTTTTTTTTTAAATGCTGTCAAACATATTGAGGGCAATTTCCGTACATTGTATGTAACGGAATATTCAGCATGTATAGCATGTGTTTCATGTTGCTTCATACCAGACCATTCAGTTGAACAATGAATTTTTGGATAAAAAATTAAAATAATTTATCAAGTGGTTTTTATTGTTGAAACAGAAGTTGGTGAGACTTAGCCAAGGGGCTGATGAGTATTGATAAATGTTTGTTTTTTTTTTTGTTTCGTAATACAATCGACTTAATTTCCAGCGCCCGTTTATTCGAGTAAATGAAAATAATGAAAATCTTCAGTTTTAAGGAGTGAAAATTGTTTTTCGAGCATTACACGCATCTATGTATTTGAATATAGTACTGGGGCACCAGCACTAAAGAATAAGCAAGCGCATGCGTAAAGTGCACGAATGCACGGATTCTTGGATGAGCATTGAGCATAGAAACGAAAGAAAAAAACGTATCTGTTCACTTCTTCGCAGTTGAAGTCAGCGTCAATGGTTTGCTTTGTTCATCACTTCAGGGTGATATGTGTTCATAAAGTGCCCTTTATTAAATATAGCGACCGTGTATGGATAATATGAAGACTTACCGATCAGCAGCTATCGCTACCAGATGTAATATCGATGCAGTACAACAAAGAACATCGCACGATGTCCATATATCACAAAGCTCCGGTCCGAGTATCCAACCTTCACTAATCTGTAACGTAATATTGAAATTGTTTTGTCAGATTTTTATGGAATAAACAGAAAGGTACCAACCAATAAACATTTGACCAACACAACATTCTATCCATAGAGAAAAAAAATCAATAACGTTCACATTTTGATGGGAAGATAAGAGTCGGCAAGGGAAAGTATGCAATTATTTGTTTGAAACTTACTTCGTAAACGGCTCCTAAGGGCATCACTAGACAAGCTACAAACAAATCAGCAACGGCCAACGACGCTACCAAATAGTTTGCGACATTTTGTAGATTTCGTTCCAGTATAATTGCAGCTATAACAAATACATTTCCTGTGTTTTTTTTTTTCGGGGTAGAAAATGAAATGGTGTTGGAAAATAAAAAAGCAATTAGCAAAAGTGTGCATTCCGGAATGTTGTCGTAGTCTCAAAGGCCACGGTAGAACTAAGGTTATTTTGAGAGGATGAACACAGCATTTTCATCCCAATGCAACGATGTGAATTTCACTTAACGCATTGGCCGTATGCCGCATTCAGCTGTATTCACATCGTATTGGGGAAAATGTATGTGACACATACTATGTGCACGAAAAATGCCTAAAATGCCTCCTTTCATCCTTTCGAATATTACCAATTCGAAGAATCGTAATCACGATATAAATAATGTTAGGTTTAAGAATGAGAATAGACATTTTTTCTTCTTTTTCGGCATATCGACACTTACCGATAACTGTTATTAATATCACAAGTCCTAATATTATAGACGTAACAGCCATAATCACAAGCTTGGTAAAATCTTCGCCTGTTGTGTTATTTACTATTTCGCTAGTATTTTTGTGGATGATATTGCTTTGAGTTAAGATGGATGTGTTGTTCAAATTTCCATCATATGACCCGTTGAAGTAAAACGAATTATTTAAAATTTTAAAATCCGGTGATAAATATGTTTCGGAGTTTCCGCCATCAATAAATATGTCATAAGCGTCTGTTGAGAGAAAGAAAAAAAAGAAAGAAACGAGGGAAAGAAAAATGAATCATGCGTAAAATATGTGTTCCACCTGAAAAAATGTTAATTGAATGACGATATGCTAAGTGAATGAAGTTTGAATGGTTGAAGTTAAAAGCCTTTGCTGTTCATCATGTGCAGCAAGAATGGGGCATCAACTTCTAATCAATCATGAGAGTTTCGCACCCTTCGTATTTAGTGGCACTTATGTTACCGTGTTCATAAACATAGTAGTAGTAGAGAGAGAGAGAGAGGAAAACGAACCGATAAGATTTCTAATCGAAAAAAATAAACGTAAGATTTGTTTCGAATGCTTTTGAGGATGTGTATAAAAATTGTACAAGATTCCAACGAAAACATATAATTTGTCTCATACACAAAATACTATCTATTCAAATGACTGAATAAATCTATGCGGAATGCTGAGTTTTTCTCGGGGGTTCCAGCATGTGCGCATAGCATGTATATTTATGCGTTCCGTAGCAGAATGAACGAAAGAGAGTAAGGAGGAAAACAACATTTATAAATTGTAACAACAGCAGCGACAGCAACACCCTTACGACAAACAACGACGACGATGTCAAACCAGCACAGTTTTTTTTTTTGTTTTCTTTCCTCTCACACTCTCTGTTGCTCTTTCTGTCACGATATTCGGTCGGTCGCAACATACAGCGGTGTTTCACATTGCGGTTTTACAATACATTTTCACACGCACATTCCAGCGAATCAAGTAGAGTTCATTGAAAAGAATTGTCCACAATGTACCTTTTTTTTCATATATGTATGTATACGCTATATTAAATGTGGTTGAAACTAAAGCACTGCTAGTCCAACTCACTCACTCTCTGCACATACATCCCATAAAATATATATACATGAAATTTTCAGAAGCGCATTCCTCACTAATGGAAAAATAGCCAAGTTTTGGCATTTTATTTGTGATATTCACTTTGGAATTTCGAATGTTGAATCACATCGATATTGCGCTAAATCGGAATTAATGTTACCATTCAACAAATCAAATCGATTTATAGCCACGTGATTTATTATTAATATTAAAATTTTGTTGAATTTTCTATTCATCTTTTTTTCTCTGCATACTTTCTTTCTTTTTGTTGTGTTTTGAAAGCGAAAACACTTTTCAATAGAGATGATATTGACCCAGTATTATCATATTGGCAGTATTATTGTTCTCTGGACGATATAAGTATATATAAATTCTGATAGTACCCAGAAAAAAAAGAGAGACACTGAATGAAGAAGAGAAAACACGAAAATAAAAAGCGAACAAGAGAGAAGAAAATTGAATGGCGCTATACTATTCACTTGTTCTTCCTGCTGCGTATTAGCAAATGAATAATTCGACTATTTTTATACAAAGCCCCTACATCGTGGATGCTCTCTTCGTTCGGTCGCTCCTTCGTTTATTCTCTCTCTCTCTCTCTCTCTCTCTCTCTCTCTCTCTCTCACTCTCTCTCTCTCTTCTGGACGACGGCGGAGGGAGATGGAAGCGTAACAGACCTATAGCTAAATGAAATCGTTCAAGTGTAAAACACAAGCAGACAAGTATTGTTGTAATCCTGTTTTATTCATATTAACGAAATACCAAAAATTATAAGGGAAATCTGGCTACTTGATGCTCGTACTGGTTGATTTTTTTATTTTATCTTGCCTTGTTCTTCTTTATATTCGTCGCATTCAACTCACGATAAAACCACATAAAATGGTAGCACAGCTAGATAGATTTTTGCTGAGTGTTGAAACATTGGTGTTAAGGTTTTTATGCTTATTTTCACTTCATTCACGTTGTACACCACCACCACCACCAGTGTAATTTTTCTTCTTTCCACTGCCGGCATACTTTGGGGTAGAGAAAATTTTACATTCTCAGACAATCACCCAATCATTTACAGTTTTTCGCTGTTATCTCAGGGCCTTTCCGTTTCAATAAACGTAAATGAATATGCAATTTCTTGCGATGCATGAACGTCACAGTTCAAGCGATCGTGCACACGTTACACTTGAAATATTAAACGGGAATGCGTTCATATTTATTTTAGCAACCAATTTATCCACATATGGCAACCGTTTTTTTTTCCATTCAAGATGAGAGGGAACAAATTCGATGCTTTTTTTCAATATACTTAGCCAACTGCAGTGTTCCCGACGGAAAATCGAAAAGAATTAATTTTTCATGAATATTTGCCACAGCCTTATTTCATTTTGCAAAGAAATGTGAAGAAAAAAACCACACAAACTCTAATTTCTATACGATTTCGCCATTGCGCAGCACAGCTTAAGTCAAACTTTTCACTTGGAATAGCAGCCTGCCGAGAAAATTCAAATTTCGCGTTTGATCTCCACCCGATTGTCAAATATTCGAGAATTATCACGTTTTAAACTTAAAATTCTTCGATTTAATTTTGTTCTACTTCGAAAAGGAAAAGACTCAACGAAAGCATCTCAATGAGAATTGTGATAATATTCGTGTGAAACAGACCATGCTCAGTCGACGCATGCACTCAGTCGTCATATTCAAGGCAAGATTCAACATTTCTATTCGAGAGAAAAACTGGTTTCCTCTTATTTATGGCAGCTGCGTTTACATGGATTGCACAACTTCCATTATCTATGCGAGATTAAGTAATTGTCGGAAATGAAATAACACACAAAACATTATTTTTTTTAAATATAAGTTTTTCTCATATGCAGAGAAGTTATGGGTTGTGCAAAAAGCGTCAATTTTTCTAGTGAACGAAACATTCACTCTGTAACGCATTCACATAATATCCAAGAGTTTGTATGTGTGTGTCAAAATTCCTCGTTGTGCCAGAGTGAGAACCGCGGTTGAGTCGGTTGCACAATGCTCATTGGATAAAATTAAATCCAAATGTTATGACGCAAACTCGATGTCACTCTCTACCTACGTTGTTCGCACATTCTCTTAGTTCGTAGAAGTAACAAACCGATTCGCATACATTTGTGGTTGTGGTGTTTCCATGGATTCCTAGAAATACCATCCCCCATAAACGCATTGAGTTTATTCTATGTGCGAGGACATTATTATGACGGTAAATGGTAAGAAAAAAACCAAGAAGAGAGAGAAAACCTATTTTCCATCGAATGCCAAGGCGAAAATTGTATATATGGACTCTTTGTGTTATCTACTGAAGCAGAACTCATCTCATTATCGAAACACATCAAAAGAAAGTAATTTGGATGAAATTCTTACTCACAGCAATCAAACTGAATTATTAAAGACCGATAGCTAGTTATTTTTTTTCTTTAAGATAATCAAAGTCGATGAGAATTATTCAAAAAGTGAGTGAATTACAAATATGTGGCGCACATACTAATTTACATGTATGCGTAATGCCTTGGCAATATTACGGTTAGTTTGAAGAAGAAGAAAAGAAAGGAGAAAGGCAAAAGAAAAAAAACACTTCAAATGCTATATTATGGGAAATTCACAGGAGTGGAAAATTTGAAATGTCGTTATGTGCTTATTCGTTTGATCGAAAATCCTTCTAAAAGTTTTCCATGGGAAGAGGAGAAAAAAGCAAATAAAATCATATGAAAAACAGATTAAATTGTGGAAATGTCGTTTGAACTGAATTTTATGGAAGAGAATACTGTTTTCAGCATAATTTTTCCCTTGATTGAAACATTTCGTGCATTCAAGCGCATGTGTGAGTTTCTTGCGCTTCATTAAGAACAAACGTTGTTGCGTTAGGAATCAAAGCACGAATTTGAACTGGAATAAAAACCCGTTCATGGCAACGAATCTTATAACACTGTAAAACTTTTAACCAACAAAAAAATAAATGCCACATTCCTTCTGTGTGTTTCTTTTCCGTTTTCTCTGGTTTTTTTTTCTCTTTCTTGTCGCTTTACACACAAGAATTTGCATTGATGAAAGGATACTTGTTTCAAATCTGCGAGCATTTCCGCGCTTTCGATGGATGCGGTGGGTGCTATATCAAAATATCATATACATTTCTCTCCTCATTTCAAAGTCAAATTTTCACCGAAATACTCTGTTAGATTTGGTAATTTCGCGGTAAGCCTTGCGCTCGCACACCCTTCATTTTATTGAGTGAAGACGATATAGTCTGGTTGGAACGTCGTTTTTCCTCTCTACTATAAAGACATAAATATGATTTGTGATTATATGCATGGAGCCGAAATGTACGGAAAGATGGGTTATTTTGTGCGTGTGAGGATATCATTTGAATTTTCAATCTCAAGTAAATATTCGGAAATCTGCATACAAAATAAAGGGGAGCAAAACCGACAGATACAGAAAAAGAAGAGAAAAAAAAATAACAACGTATCATTTTGCACGAAGACGCCTCGAAATTCATGCCATTGTTTCATGTAAGATTAGTGGTTCATATCACAGTAGCGATATGTTTTCGGGGCGGAAAAATATGGTCATTGTTGAGCTGTTGAAGCATTTCGTTGTGGAAATGACTCACTTTTGGTATTTTATGCTTCAAAATGGCTCGATTTTTGGTGTGTGTGTGTGTGTGTGTGCGTATGTTGCTGTGTATGTGTGATGATATTGCCAAAGACTTTCAAAAATGAGCAGCTATTGTTTCGAAATCTTGCTAATTTTTGAGTCGCTAAATCCATAAGCATAAAGTAGCTTCTTGTGTTTTCCTCTTTTTTCTGCATCGAGCTGCACATAATCTTTTGTGCATTGTTCTTTTGACCTGAATTAGCTATTTGCGTCTGAACACATGCACATTCTGCACGTATACAATGCCATTTTTTTCTGTTTCGCTCTCTCTCTCTCTCTCTCTCTCTCTCTCTCCCGCTCTCGCTTCCACTTTTTGCTCTCACTGAACCATAATCAGAACGATTACATTTCTGCCCTAATATTTTCAGACTTTTGGCTTTGCCTTCAGGCAATGACTAGCCTAATAGAAAACAGTTCAGAGCGAGAGCGAGAGCGAGAAAAGAAAAATATTATTCATGGCACAGTGAGCTCAATACGCAAACAATAATGCCGGAGAGACGCATGAGAACAAAACCGTCGTCGCGTATGTGCTGTTTCTGCTGCTATATAACATGCGCGCATCTTGAAAAGGATGCGCTCTTTGAACAAATCAGCGTTTAAAATATTGTAAAAAAATGGGAAAATCTTAATTCAAAGTACATACACAGACATTAATGGCTGTTTGAAGTACGTGCGAAAAACGCTTTTGTTGGGATATATTCGAAACAAACGTTGAGATTTGACAATTTTTACTTAGCTCTCTCTCTCTCTCTATATATATATATATATATATATATATATATATGTGTGTGTGTCTCTCTCTATCGCAAATATTGTTGAATTTCAACAATAGATTTTTGTCTGTGCACACGTTTGATTGTTCGTATTGTATTTGGATGCAGCTTCTGCGCCAAACAAAGGACTACTTGGCAATTGTCATCGCCAATTCGTATATAGCATTTTCATTATCAAAAGACAGCACATGCCATCGCGTTGATGATTATAACCGAGTCTCGTTACTTTCGGCAATACGCCTAAAAATATCACCGATGTTAGAATCAATTTATTTAATCACACTTGCGATTCTATTTTTGTTAGGCAAAAGTCTTGGTGCTTTTGTGAGACACAACAAACGTGTGAGAGCGTTTTTTTTTTTGCAGAATTTCAATTCAATTTTGATATTGGGTATACTTTGGTTTATTTGCTGTTTTTCTTCTTCTTCAAATTTCGATTCAATTTTAAAGAGTGCGAGTTTGCCTAAATTCTTTGAATTTTCTTTCAAAAAAAAAGGTAAAAATGAGGTGAAATTGCAACAACATTAGGTGTATTTCAGTTTTTGCGCGTAGAAACGGGGCTGGAATTCTAAGAATTCCACCGAAATCGTTCGGAATCATTTTTTTCGTATATAAGACCATATTGGAGTGAAAGAGAGAGATTCCACTATTTTTCAGCGTCCCACCGGAATTATTCCGATAACTCAAGGAAGAGTGGATTGTGTGAGAAATAATTCCGGTGGGACGCTGAAAAATAGTGGAATCTCTCTCTTTCACTCTAATATGGTCTTTTGTACGAAAAAAATAATTCCGAACGATTTTGGTGGAATGACTTAAAATTCCAGCCCGGGAAACATCCTTGCTTTCGATCAACTGAATTGAGTTTCTTTATGCCGAATAAATGAAAGCATTTTCATAAATATCTTCGTTGAACTAAATACAATTTCATATTTAACTCTGTTCGATTTTAGTTGTATTTTAATCAGGAGAAAAAAACTCTGCATCTATATCTCTTGTTTTATTATGATGGAATTTTTTTTTGTCATCACAACTGTTGTGCTCCCTGTTGTCAAAGCCGTCGCGCTACTATTTGCAAACGATTACGCAAAAGCGAAAGAAGAAACGACTTTTTCGACTCACACACAATTGCGTCAAAGTGACGAGCTGGTATATTCATTTTCGAAGCGTATTTCAGCCAATTTTGCTACTAGCAGCATGCTAGTTAGCATTGTTTTCGGGTTTTTTTCCCTTTCTTTTAGGTTCGATTCTGATCACAGAATTGTATTGTAACTAAACTAAGTTACCAGTTGGTTTTTTTCAAAGACGAACCAGAAAAAAAAGACTTTGTTTTTTACGCACAATTCATTCACGTTCCATAAATATATAAAACATTTTTCATTCAAATCAGGAAAGTTTATTTGTTTTCTTTTTGCTGTTTTTTCTATTTCTCTTTGCTTCAATTCCCCTTCTCTCTCTCTCTCTCTCTCTCTCTCTCTCTCTCTCTCTCTCTCTCTCGCTCTCTCTCTCTCTAGTCTGCGTTGGAGATGTAATTGGTAGGTTCAAAGCGCCGTCTTCCGACGCAAATGTGTACTTTCATTTGGTATCCTTTTCTCGTGTCGTGTTCGTCCAACACATCGGAGAAAAAGTCATGTGTGCAATAAAATGGTAAAGCCAATGGCAAAACTATAGCTCTAATTCGATATGAATTGAGGCGATTTGACAAAGGGTGACGAGAGAAAAGCAACGCAGAAAGAAAAATATATAGAACGAGAAAAGAAAAACGAGTTCAGCACAGATGTTACGAAAATCTATCCAGCGATGAAAATTATAATCAAATAGTGTATCTTTGACGTGTGGAAAAAAAGGATTTCAGCAAACATTGCCTATTCTCGGATTAGCAATAAACGTGCCGCAAAATTGACAACTTTCTGTGTCAATTGCTTTGGATATTCTCGCTTCAGTGGTGGTGCATTTTGTGTGTGTGTGTGTGTGTGTGTGTGTGTGTGTGAAGCGAAATGGAAGAATTATTTGGCAATAGCTGGCTCAGTAGCATTGCTGCGAAACCTTTTTATCAATTTTTTTTCCTCGCCTTTACTTTCTATTTATCTATTTTCTTCTTTTTCCTGCGTGTATGTGTATGTGTGTGTGTGTGCACATTCAAAGAGCACAAGGAGTGAATCGATTTGATCCATTTCGTTCTTTGTTTTTTCTACGCTTTTGCTCCTGTTTAAATAAGGTTCCATTAAACGAACGGTTTTGACTAATAAAAAATAAATAAGCAGAAAAATGCAGAGCGTGTTTAGTGACAAGTAAACAGAATGTCCAGAATGAAGAGCAAAAGATACGGTATGTGTGTGTGGATGGTAAAATGTGTGTAGTGAAGGAGTCAGTAGTGTTGAGAGTGTAAAAGCATTCTTGAGGAGGAAATGTATCAACATGTCAAGAGTATCGATAGCTAGAGCATTTGGTTCTTCTATATATATTCAGTGGTAAGTCAAGGGCGGAATCGAAATGAACGCATTGCACGGTTGTCTTAAAGTGAACTAAATTTCGACACATGATGGGTGACAGTAATGAAAGAATGTATGTGTATATAATGCATGGTATATTGAGGCTTACCTTTAACCACCGCTGCCAAATCGCTGTCGATCGAGCTAGACGATGGTTTCATAGATGATTCTAGGTATTCCATGTTAAAGCTTTTTTCATTTGAATCTGGTTATCGAAATTAAAATTTGTTTGATGATTCTAGCTCGCTGTCGTCTCCACTGCCGCTCTCTTCCGCCGCTCGCTTCACCTTCCCGTCCTATCCCTCTTGCTCGTTCACTTGTGCAATTCGTGCGTATTTATACACACTGTAAATTCTTATTTGCTTATGCTGCTGCTGTTGCTGTTGCTGTTGCTGTTGTTCAATTCGAATAAATGTATCATGCCGTTGGTGTTTGGTGGTTGTCATGAGTGTGGCATTCGAACTATTTTGAATTCATTGATGTGAAACTTAATCCGAAGCGATTAAAAGCGCACACACGCACGCACCACAAAATTCAATTCCTCAGTTCTGAGTCCATCATTTATAAAATATTTTTTTCATTTTCATCACGGTTATTTTCTTGCTCTTTTTTTTCGTATGTCGCGTGTATGTGTTAAAAATCGGTGGTTCCACTATGTTTTATAAAACATGCCGTCTTTCGTCGTGGTCGTCGCTCGTTCACTCGCTTCTAAATTTAAATAAGCACTTTAAAATATTATACCGAGTCACAATCAAAGGATACATGTATTTACACACACATATGTATGGTTTTAATTCACATCGTTTTTTTAACAGAAAAAAAAAATATAGACCGAATAAGGAAAAAAAAATCCTTTTACTCAAAACATTCTCCAAATTAAAATTCGAGTGATGAATAAAGGAATTAACACGAGAGAGAGAGAGAGAGAGAGAGAGAGAGAGATAGCGAAAAAAGAGAGAGGGAATAACGAACATAAATGAATTATATCGAAACGGTAATTTGAGCTTTTACTAGATTCACACATTGAAAGTAAGTTAATCATGCGCCGAGCTCTAGCCAAGCGTCGCTCATTGAAAATTACATTTTATCTTGAATGAATTATCCGTCTATGTTCTATATAGATAAATAACATCACCACTTTTCCCACTCATTTCACACATATAGACAAACAGAATACAGGTACAGGCACCAATATAGACACAAAGTGTGCAGAGCAGCGCCAAAAGTGAAATGAATGAATGAGTGTGTATGTCGAACAACTGTCACGCCCTCTGGATGCACATTTATGTGATTTCAATCCACGATAATTGGAAATCTTTCATGCTTTGTGTGCTTTGGATTAAAATGTTAATGAAAAACCAGGCAAAAATATGCACGAATGCCACCGTATAAAACGAAATTAATCACCAGCAATAGAACGAAACAGTGTGAGAGAAAGAGAAAAATAGAAGCGAAAGTGAGAAGTGAAACAAACACAAAAAAAAAGTTCGTTTCACCACAACAATTGTTCGTTGTGGTCCATAGGTTTATGTATGTTTATTTTATGGAACCGTATTGCCGAGATATTTTAATTTGCGCACAGAATAGAATATAAATTGAAATCAACTGAAAACAAAATTGCATTAATTATATCTTTTAAAGTGGTTTTGTTTCTGTATTTTGGTTGCCTTTCATGCTTTCGCCTTTTTCTTCGTCTAGTTTGGAACTATATAGTTTGGTTGTTTGGTTGTTCTCTATTGCGCGTTTCATTTGCCTGTTGTACTAGCTACACCGTGGATTGGATGCTCTACTCTGCTCCACTCGGATCGGCTCTGTATGCGTCCAATATCGTGTAGTATTCTCGTGTATTGTCCAGTTGACAGAGAGACTGACATAGACACCACATACAGAGAACGAAGCGATAGAGGCAATGAGAGAGGGAGAGAAAAATGCATTTGGCGAACTATTTTATGTAACGAAATACAAATAAAATGATAGAGATACCGAGTGATTGCTACCATTTGGGTCATCTATAATTACTTTTAGAATCAAAGTTCTGTTTCATCGTGCTCCGTTCATCTTTAAAATAATGTGTGAAAATATAGTGAATAGAGGTGATAGAATAGTGTGTGTGTGTGAGTGTGATATTCATTCGCTATGTAGATAACGTTTTTTATATATATAAATACAGAGAGAGAGAGAGAGAGAGAGAGAGAGAGAGATAAATGTATGTGTATGGGATGAATAGGGGCAGCCGACTACGATAAGTGTATTTCTATCTGATTGGTGTTGTCTTTTTTTATTCATTACAACCTGAAATAAAATGAAACAATGCAAATTAGATTAGTGGTGGTACGGGAAAGGTAAACGGGCGGCGAAACAGAGATGGATAGATGGATGGAGAAAAAGATGAAGAGAGTGAATAACGGGCGCGTGAGATTGAGTGAGAGCGCGAAAGAGAAAAAAAAAGAGAGAGAGAGACCGCGCGTGAGCTGTAAATTTATTTTAGCCTGTTTTCGGAATTGACACAATACACACATTCAGCGATGTGAAGCGGGAACCGGGTCAAAGAGCACTGTACAAATTTGCGGTTCGAAAACCATTACACAAATTCGATTTGATTGAATGCACGGTACGTGGAAATATGCTGTTTGTCGAAAATGACGTTATGGAGTACATGCGAAAAGTGGAAAAATCGCTCTATGGAACACAGCTAAGTGGAATCGTAGCGCAGCACAGCACAGCATAGCATAGCATAGCATCATGGGCGAAGCCAATCTAAGCCAAGCCGCGACACGAGCACAATAAAGCAGTGCCTCGCAATGGGTATGATTGCTTCGACACTTTGGTGGTAAGAGCATTACACACAGTCAGCAAGTGGCGGGATAAAGCGACTCCACTTGTTTGCCATTAGACGTTTCCATAGTGCGTTCACCACAAATATACACAAACGCGGGTATGTTTTTGCGTGGGGTGCATCAAGGTTAATGCGTATAATATTCTGTCGGGGAGGTTTTGTATCGTGTGTATGCTTGTTGTTCATTTGTTCGTTGGCTCGTCATTCGATTGTTCTATCAAATTCTATGAGCCATCGTTGGCTTATTGTGGCTGTCTTCGGTGCTGCTACTGCTTCAGCCGCCATTGCCATCGCCACCGTCGTTGAGTGTCAAATTAAGTGAGTGCGATTGGTGTGTATTATGCAGTAGTCCCATTCGGAAAACAAATTAAACTATTTTGTTGTGCTAGAAAAGTGCCAATCAAAAGTTTTTATTGCTGGAAATGGGCCAACAACGTACGCGCGCTCGTTCAGTCGCTCGTGTCTCTTCCACACACACACACACACACACACACTTCCATTCAGTCGAATTTTCTGAAGCCAGGAAGTTTATATAAGTTTTTCTTTAAGGACGGAAAAATTGTTTTCGATGCACCATAAAGCGTTTCAATGTTGGAATATAAGTCAGTTTAATTCTTCACAAAGTGATAAAATATCATCAAACCGCAGGATTTTTGTTATTTGCATGCTCTCTTTCTTCTCTCACACAACTGCATATTTCCTTGTTTCCTCTTGTCGTTTGTTTGCTTACACGAATTCTCCGATGAGTACAGAGAGTGAAAATGCAGTTTGTATGTTGCCTGATGAAAAATGCACCAAATTTGCATGCCGAATTCCTTAAGACGTTGCCATGCCATGCCTCACCATGCATACTGTACATGTCGTATTTATGTCTATGTGTGTCTGTGTCTGTGTCTCTCTGTGTGTGTGTGAGCGTACGTTTGTATGCTCGTATGTTTGTTGCAATAGGGCGATTAAAAATGAATGTGCATTTGAGCACATTTTGAGCACATTTTGAGATGACGTGCCGTATTCCAATCGCTCTCTCACTCTCTCACCCTTCTCATAATGATGTTGAATGCCTTAACAACAGAGAGAGAAAAATGGGGGTGGGGGGGAATTTATGATTTTGGTTCGGTGTTAACGACATCATCCAAAGCATCTGGAACATGTATGTTTCATCTCAAAGCTCTCACTCACAGCGCTCAAGCGCCCACCCCGAAAAAGCACATTGAAGTACACATTGGCAACACGCCAAAATATTATATTCGATACATGTGAAGAAGCCCCTTCGAGCGATTGTTCCCTTGTGCCTTGGTGTGCTTTCTCTTATTTCATTCGATATGTGTGTATCTTCTGTGTGCACGCCCGTAGTGCCCGTGCATGCTTTTGCCTTCTTCTTCATCTTGGGCTTCGACATGTGTATGAGTGTGTGAGTGCGATATGTTTTGTGTACTAATAAGAAAATAATTGACAAAAACTTTTCGTCTATTGAAATCCATTGGCTTTGTATGAATAAGTTAAATGTCGATGTGCTTAAGTTTGAGACTTAGACTCTGACTCTGGATGATGTGCTTGTGAGTGAGTGAGTGAGCAGTGTGTGCATGTGCATGCATGTGTTCAGAACGAACATTCATCACACACACACACACACACACACACACATACGCAACACACACAACTGAATAAATTGTTCACAAATTTTTATCGAAAAATTTTAAACAACAAACAAACAATCAAACTCTATGAAAGTTTCATGAAAATTCAGAAGTTGAATACAAAAGCAACTGAATTTGAATTGTATTCAGTAGTTTTAGCATGATCATGACTTCATGAACCGTTTCCAAATGAGGCGTACCATAACTTGTTCATATAATTTTTTTTGGCTCTCTTTCTCTCGATGTGTGTGCGAAAGTGTGGTGCGCGCCTTGGCAAAAGAACCATCTCTTGTTCGCACCATTTGTGGGAACATTGCAAATAAATACGGACACATTACTTTTTGCCATGCGTTTGGCTTTGCTCCCAACAATATCAACTGAACAAAATAGACTGCGTCTTCCCATTTGTCTCCCCCGTCTTTTACCATTCATTCAATTTAACAAAACGAACGAACGAAGGAAGAAAACAACAAAAGCCGAATAGAATAGAATAAAATACAACGAACACAGAGGATTGGTTCTATAGTGATGGAAGGAGCATAATGTATAGTTCGAAACCATTTTGAAAATGGGCTGCTTTTTTTTCACTTTGGCGACTCTCGGCATACATACAAACATATATATATATATATATATATATATATACACTAATGCTCACTTCAGACTTGCTCGAAATTGGGTTTAAAATGCGTATGCGCATCAATTAATCGGCAACTCTGTCTCTCTAAACATTTATTGGTGCTGAACTATTCACGATTCGCGTTTAGTTGCGAAACGCAGAGAGAAGCATTTTTATAGCAAATCGCATCACGGATATAAAATCCGTGGCAAAAAACATGAGTGAAATAGCTCCTAATTGTTTTTTGCCATTAAAATAATTTTTCGTACAATGCAAGAAGCAACAACAACATCAACAAAAAACGTTTATTGATTGCAATTTCCTTGGCACAGGAAAAAAAATTCCTGCCAACTTTACTTTATTATAAAAGCACCAGCGCATGACTGAATGTACCTCATATTACATCGTATGCACTTGTCTAACATCCGTCGTTGTCGTCGTCATCATCATCGTCATCGTCATCGTCATCGTCTCGAGTTCAACATCGTAATATCACACGACAGCCGCCAGATTTTTCTTACCTTCCAACCGTAAAATGTGCTTCAGCCAAACTTTGTCTTCACTCATTCAGCGAAGCGAACGAGGAATCACACGCGATGTGACATGAATTCAATGATTGAACAAAACAGCGACAAAAAAGCGATTCATTTGGAATTATTTATCGAACAATGTGCCGAAAAAAAGAAGAGAACGGTCGAATGTTTTAGCAATTATAAATTGTCTCGCTTATTCACGAATAAAATAAAAAATCATTTCAGATCAATCAAAATGATAACAACTTCTAGTCAACTTCGGCACCGTCGTTTAGGCAATATTTAATATCATGCGCTGCATGAAAATGGCTAAAGCCTGATCCTTATACCACACATGAATATTTATCGAGTTATATTCGAACTTTTTCCAATAAAATTCCGTATTATTATCATCATCATCATCATATTTTTTTGTCGTCGTCGTTGCCTTATGAGCAAAGTAACGTGTGTATTACACTTCTTTTTTTCTCACATGCGATAATTTTTTTTCCCTGTGCTGTTGCTCTCTTTTATTTGATTCCAAAAGCAGCATTTCTGGCAATCCGGATTCCAGATAAGTAAAATTGATTTCATTCACTCGGTGTCACACAAATGTGAGAGTGCGATTGCGTGAGAACGTACGTAAAGATATTTTTTTTTCCCCCGTTGCTGTTATGTTCGGTGAGAACGTGGAGTGGAGTGGAGTGTGGTTGATGTCTTTACGTTGATATTTACTTTAGTTGTACCCTTTTTGGAAATTGAGTGGGAACCAAAGGAACGTGGAATCAGGCTAAGGCTGTGTGCGTCTTCATGGGAGTGCGAATTGAAGAATCCGATGAAAGATTCGTTCATTCATTCGTCTCAAGGTGTGTATGCTGTATATATATATGTGTGTATGTGTATTATTTCGCTCTTGTTAAATTAGCTAATAAATTGAATGCTCATGCTTGGCACAGCCCGAGCGGAATGGAATTTCTATTTGATTTGGTGGAAAGCATTCGCATTTCGGACTGTGTTAGACATTAGGCGTCGGATTTTTTTTTTCATCGTTGGCTTCTTCTTATTGTTGTTGTTGTTGTTTTCTCTCTTCTTTCTACCTTTTTGCGCTGATGGCAGCCGTCGGACGCGCTAGACCAAACGATATACACGAGACCAACAGCGACAATAACAGTGCATAAGAATAAAGAGAAAAGAAGTGAACAACGCATACATCGTCTTGAATAAAACGCACAACGATGAACAGATGAAGTATGCACACACGCGCCAACTGCCACTTTGTATCAAAATATGTATACGCATATAATGTTGTGGTTGCTCCTCGATCCCCTCTCACACTCTCCACATTTCACATTTGGTCCGAAATGCTTATCGGTTCAATTTCTCAAATGCTATTTAAACGGGCTCAATCCTCATACATATATTAATAGATTGGTGCGTTTTGAAATCAAAAACTTCCATTCAAAAAACTACTTTTGATCATATTTATGCGCTCGAAGGCTTGCACCGCACTAATACCATCCTTTTCAAAACGACTCCAATCATGGATTTTGCGCTGGTAAAATAGATTGAGGCTCACTTATTCTCTCTATTGCTCGCCGTCTTTCTCACTCTATGTCTCTATCGCTTCTATCTCCCTTTCGCATACACTATCGCTCGTTGTCTATTTGCTCTCATTCATTTCTTTCGCACATACATACATACACAGAAAAAGGTCTATATTTTCCACGAAATTATTTATTAAGCTAATCTTTTCTGAACACATACCTGAATTTTCTTTGCTTCGCACTCCCCCAGAATAAAAAAAAATCCCTCAATTCAATTGCTATCGAGTGAAATGCATTGCACATTTCGCTTTTGACCGTGCTTTCCCTTTCATTCGTCGTCGTTGTCGTTTTTGGTAATGATTTCCATTTCATTCCATTCTCGCGCGTTTTTGGCTTTAGCACACTTTCAACAACTTGGTGCTTTGGGTCAACATTTCGTTCGAATAGACTATTGACAACGATTGTGCGAGGCGAGCGCGCGCGCTCTTTTTCGTTCACTCTCTCTCATTAATGTGGTGGCTGTTTGGTACATTAAGCAGGAATAAAAAAAATATAATAATAATAAAAAGAAGAGGAAGACAACAATAATTTGGCGCACGCAAAAGGGAGACACACAGTGAGACAGAGACAGAGACACAGGGGCAGAGAGAGAGAGAGAGAGAGAGAGAGAGAGAGAGAGAGGGAGAGATTTAGACAGAAACGGTCGTGTCGTGTTGTGTGTTGTGTCGTCTCATTGTCAAGAAATCCAAATAGTCTCATAAGTAGGACCGAAAACCGCAATATTTGTTTTAATTTCAGGACAAATATCAAAATAACAAATCACACAATTCATAGTGACGATAGCGTATATTAAATTACAAGAAAAGAAAACACTCTCGCAACACACTTGCTCGCATTCGTATTCGTTCTCTCTCTCCGTTCGTGCTGTAACGACCGAAAATGAAAATGAAGAGGAAAAAAGACGACGAGAAAAAGAAGAGGATGAGGCAAAAGAATATACTTTGTTCACAATTTATTTTATTTTATTTTTTCTCATTCTTCGTCTTCGTTGTCGACTTCTTCTACTTCTTTTTACATTCACGATGGAAAATACGACTCGGTCTCTCAGATAGGAGAGTAATAATAAGAGCCACTTTCTCTCTAGCTCTCCTGCTCTACATATATATATATATATATATATATACCGTATATATTTTTGTGTACTATTCATTTGGAGATGTTTATAGAAGATAACAAGTAACCTTTCTGGATGCTGTACTCTCTCTCTCTCTCTCTCTCTCTCTGTGTGTGTGTGTGTGTGTGTGTGCGTGTGTCACTGTCCTTCTTTCTGCATTCTTTTTCTCACGTTTCTGTATTTTGGCAACAATACCACTGTTGCTTTATCAAAATTATATATTATTTACTATTATTATTATTGTTATTATCATCATTATTATTATTATGATTTTTCCTTCGTTGTTCGTTTTTCGTGCGCTTTTTTTATTTGGTTTTATATTATTGTTTTGATTTTGATTCCAGCCACCATCACACGAGTAATCGGGACACGGAAAACTGTCGTTTTACTCATATGACGACAACTCACGAATAAATAATAATTGAATCGTGCGAAAACAAAAAAAAAAAATTCATCAACCAGAGGCAAACAACAAACTCAAAGCCAAAAATTATTTTCAAGTCCTCCCTTTTATTCGAATAAAACAAAAATAGAATTTACATAATTCTTGAGCTCATTCTATTTATTTTCTTTTTGCTGGACTTTTTTTCATTTTCGCTAACTTATTTTTTTCTTCTTTCTGTTCGCGTTTTTACTTTTGTATAATTGCAACGGATCGTTCTTTTTTGCTCTTTGTTGTCGTGCTTACGTATCTTTTGTATTTTCACCGCCTTGATATTTATTCATTGGCAAAAAGTACTAATTAAAATGACGAAACTGTAAATCTCAACGAAAACCGATTTCGAGAGGGAAAAAACCAAAAAAATTCAAACAATAACAGAACCAGTGCAACAAACAGAAAAAAAAAGTTTACTTTTTATTAGTTTGCTTCGGCTATAAACTTTTGGACCGTTTCGACGTTCGTTTCTTTCCTTTTTTTTACTCTCTCTCTCTCTCTTTCTCTCTCTGTCGTTCGCCAGTATTCTTTACTTTTCCATCAACGGAATTAAAACAAAACAGTTTTATACTAACATACGAAAACGAATTCTGTTTTTTTGCTATTCTGAATAATCACAACGAATTTACGGCCCATGTTCATGCTTGAAAAGCAACACCCTAACTGAAAATAAAGTGAAATGCTGACGGCAGCACGCCTGAGATATCAGTATCGTGAAATATTCCAAGTGGATGAGCAAGCGAATACACCATATAAATACGCGTTCACTGGCTCTCACCGTCACACCAATGCTTTGTTTTCCACAACAGAAGCAGCAGCAGCAAGCTCTATGGCATCATAGCCATCGTACACTCGGTGTGTGTATCGCGTCGTGTCGTGTGTTGTTCGCTTCGTATGCTTTGGTTGCTTTGCTAGCTTGCCTTCGTATAAAAACGTACACATCGCATCGCCACTGTGTGTATTGTTGAGAGAGAGCACGGTTTACGATGGAAACGAAGCTATCGGCAGCATTCAGCGAAGGCAAAGCCAATGCCAAAGCCAAAGCCAAAAGGAAAAGAAGCAGCAGAGCAAAAGTGTTGGTACAAAATCTCGAGAATGGCTGCACATACTAGCGAGAACAGCAACAACGAACAGTGACAACCGAACCAAGTCAACAGCAGCATCAGTACATCGTACAGCTCACGCAACATCCAAACCGATATTTGAGATGTGATTTACTTTAAGCTGTCGAAATTTTGCGTATGATTTCATTAACAAAAACAATGCACTCTCACAATTTCTCTCTATCTCGCCTCATGCTCCCGTAATTTGGGGGCAAAACGGAAAAAGGGACACACGAAAAGTTATAAATGATCGACCTGTCGTTATTTTAAGTACGTAATAAGCAATAAGCTAATGAATTGTGATACAAACTTGATTTTTAGATAGGTCGGTCATTTAATTTTATTTAATATGCTTAAATAACGGCTGAGCATCGCAACAATAGCAACAGTAGGAGTTACAGCAACAGCACAGTACGGCACGGCACGGCACGGCATATACCACACGGAAAAACTGCGAGAGACCGCGCGTACGAACGACAACGGGCAGAGGCATCGAACGTTAGCCACTCGGAAATACTGAGATAATTCCGAATCGTACATCGTACATCGTGCATGCTCACACACGGTCGCTCTCTCGCGCGCGCTCTACGATTTGTCTCGCCGTCATTTTACATTATTTCACAATCTATGTTCGAGAGATTGAACATTTCGATAGTCGAACATTCTATTTTACATTGTGCATATCGGTCGTACATCGATGATATTGTATACGCTGTGACAATGTTCGTAGCTCGGTTTTTAGCAAAAACAGTTTTTGGCAAAAAATGGCAAAGCTGTTTTTTTTCTGATGTTTTTTTGGAGGGGGGGATGAAACGATGCGACTTTTGACACGAGCAGCCCGAATGCTCTGAAAAGTTTTATTCGTTTTCGTGACACATTGTGTATTTCTCGTTGCTCTCGGTTCTCTACTTCACCCCAGCTCACTTTATCCGTGTGTTATTTTTTCACTCTATCTCACTCCCACTATCTCTCTCTCTCTCTCTCTCTCTCTCTCTCTCTCTCTCTTTCTCTCTCTTTCTCTCTCTCTCTCTCTCTCTCTCTCTACCTCTATGCCGCTGCGTGCTTCCGAAACATGGTAAACTCACAAGCCATTTCCCGAATCCGAATCCGAAAAGCTCCAAGCCCGCAGCTTCGAAAAATGGCATAGAATGAAACGAAACGAAACAACGAGACACGGAATATACGGAGCATATAGCTACTTTGTTTTGGCACATAAAAATCATATCTCGAATAATAGTTACATTTTCGGGGTAAATGTTTCTTTAATAGAAATTTACTTTCGGCAGTACGTTGTCATCATTGCCGTTTCCCATTTCGAAAATCATCGAGCTACGAATCGACCACGCTATGTGCCCGTATAAACATTATCGGTCCTCCTCGAACCCACGAAATATACGTGCACTTACTGCCAAATGTAAACCACGCTCAAATAAAAAGAGTCCGTTTTTCTCTCTCTTCCATTCCTTGGGCGAACTGTGTGTGTATTTTTGTACAAAGTAAATGTATGTATATGTATCTATATATAATTTCTCTTTGATTCACGCACTCTCCACATCGATGCGTTCGTCTGTTCTTGTTCTTGCTTTATGCTCTCTTCACTTTGTCGCTCGGTTGTCCCGTTTTCGCGCGCAATTCCCATTCGGCATCGTCGTCGTTGTCGTCGTCGTCTACCTTTTCGTTCAAGCGTTGGAAAGAGAGGCTGCTGCTGTGGCCTCTCTCTATGTATATCGTATCTCTCTTTTCTTTGTGTGAAAATTTGAACGAATGTTCAGCATGTTTTTCCACCAGCCTTGAGTTTATAACTCATTTACACATTAATACGAGCTTTTATCTACATTCTATAAGCCAGGATGAAAGCAAATTGTAAACCTTTATTTTGAGAGCACTGACAATTGCCTTTTCAGTTTCAGTTTCAGTTCCAGTTTCAGTGTCAGTTTCAATCTTTTTCTCACTTCCATTGCAAATGACATTTCGAGTGTGGAATTTTTTTTTTTCTTCTTCATCGCTTTTATTTTTCGTTTTTGGACGTCGTCGTTGTCGTAGTCGTTGGTATTGTTGTTGTTGTTGTTGTTGTTGTTATTTTTATTCTTTTGCTTTTTCTTCTTAAAAACACTTTTGAGCGAGCGGGACGAGAGTTTTGGAGCGATTTTCTTTAAATGATTGTAATAAATTAGACCGTGCGCAATGAACGAACGCTCGGAATGCTTTTACAAATGTATCATTTTCTCTCACGCTTGCTGGCGAAAATATGCGAGAGACACATAGAGAGAGAGAGAGAGAGCCTCCGCCTTCCACATCGAATCGTGAGGGAGCGGGAGACTACATGATCATTTAAAAAGGCGCCATTTAAAAATGTTTATCATCGCATCAGCACACGGCTTCAACAAACGGATTTTGGAATGTATCACGATTTTTAATATGGAACATTGAACCTTGTCGTCGCTTTCTTTCCCTCACACTCTCTCTCACTCTAAACACATTCAAATCATCCACTCGAAAACTTATTAGATTACGGAATTTTTATGGAAAACATTACTTATTCCGAGGGAAAAACAGATTTGGTGATAAGTTTGAAGAATGTGTTTATTTTTTTCGCATTTTCATTTTTCTTTTATTCTTGACACTGGTGCGCTCGCCAATCTCTCTATGAAACACGCGCGCAACAATTAAAATGAAATGGTCCCCATCACCGCAGTGGCAGCAACAGCAGCAGCAGTGACATTAAACAGAGTCTGATGACGATTTTCAGATTACGCCAAATTATCGCATCACAACCACTTCAGTCACAGATTTTTCCCCAGATTCAGTGGACATGAAACTGAAATATCTCGCACATTTCATTTGGAACGCATGTGAAAAGTGAATGAGTCACAGGCATCATCATCAACACATACACACATCTTGTCAACCGATTGCACAGCTTTTGATGATGAGAACTCATCAACGTATCTTATATCAACGTTTGTTGGTGTGTGTGTGTGCGTTTATTTTTAAATCTATTGTTCGTTCGCTGGAACTTAGTTAATGAAAATGTCAGCCATCACATTCCAAATTGTTAAATCATCAAATAAATCGCATTGGTTAGCAAATCCGCTCAAAAATGCCGATCGCTTTTTCAAAATGAAAAATTTTCGAATGCTAACCACTGTTACGCAACAAAAATTGCTTTTCGATGGCTCCAAATTTTTGCCGAACCCTTTTATCTCTCTTCGTGGGAGGGTCACCGGAATGCGATCTGAAATATCATCGCTTTTCGCTTTTTACTCTGTGCTATGCCTATCATCATTATCGGAATGAAATTATGCGCGCCAAAAAAAGGATAAAAATGCATACAAGAAATGATACTTTCCAAGTGGAAATGCGATACTTTGCGAAAGGAAATTGGAATAGATATCGGAAATACCTTATTATTACTCTGTGCGAATCAATACATACATAGCTGAAACAGGGAAAAATTCGCTGTTTAACCCCAGGAACTTGAATGGAATGAATCAAACGAACTTGCTCCCTCTAAATGACAACATGATGATGATGATGATGATGAAGAAGAAGAAGAAGAAAAGAAAGCGAGGCATCGAATCACGTGCGATAGCACTCAATTGGAAATGTCTTAAACCGATGGCAGTTTCAATGAGCAGGCGCACATGGAGCATTTAGCATTTCGTATGCATGAAATTGAATCGGACTTCAAGTTCTCTTCGAGCGTCAGATTCACCAAAGAAGCGAGAAAAAAAAAAAACAACAACAACAACAAAAGCCGAAAGAAAAAGTGAAAAAGAAACGAGGCAGAGCGAGAAAGAAAGAAAAAATCACGTTCAGACGTTTTGTATATTTTATGGCTTCGTCAAGCAGAACAGTCAACCTTGGGATATTTCGCTTGAAACATTGACTACAAACTTAGCGCACAACTTTTCGATGGCAATAAAGTTAATGTTTAATTCACAAACTTGCCTAATTAGATTGGGACAATTGCTAATTCTATTTTCTGACTTTTGTAATAGTTCTTCCGATTTAATTAGACCGTTAGTTGTTTTTACATTCGCCGCTTTCGAATTCAACTTTATTTAGCTCTCTTTCTCTCTCTCTCCGTGGCTGTGTGTGTGGAAATCAAACATAACATCGAAAATGAATGTGTCACTTTGATTTTTCATGCAAAGTTTACTACCAGATTGTTTTTTTTTTTTCAAGTGTTTTGTGATAATTTGCAAAGCGGATTTCTTTAATGAAGTGAAAGCAGCTTATTTTGGTGTGCTTGTGCTGCTTGGTGATGGTGGAAATGGTCGGAGCACGGAACTATTCACATAAAAAAAGAACTTTCAAATGAATAAACTCAGCACTCTTGGGGCATGAAAATTCAAAGGCTTGACATTCGAGAGCATGTATCGAAAGTTTTCATTGAACTTTTATAACGCTTTTATGAACTTTCCGACCGAGAAGGCGCACACCCTTCATGTCAATATATATATGAGCTATTTTATTCTGCTGTCACCGACACAAACACTAAGTTCTTAAATCAAATTTGATTAAAATGCACTCCAAATTCGA